AGGATTATTGGTAATCAGGCAAAAGAGTTACATCGAAGGAAAGTTCGACCTAGCAGAACGAAACTGGAAATGGAAAGGCTAAGCCTCGGGCCGGTAGTGGAGTCACTGATAGGGCCCCGTCGGCGCATGAGAAGGGAGGGTTGATATGTGAATTTGTTTCTCATGAATAGTTCAGTATTGGTGTGGAATGTGAGGGGGCTAGGGGATAGGGACAACAAAGCTAGAGTTAAACGTATAATATGTAGCAGGAGACCAAAAATAGTGGGATTGGTGAAAACTAAATGGGGAAGTTGCGATGAGAATTTGATTCAGAGCGTTGGCGGGGTGATGGGTTCAGGGTGAGCTTCAAAAGATGCTGCTAGTAGCGCAGGTGGAATTGCTATTTTCTGGGACAAACTCTTCTTTAACGCTCTGGAAAGCTCGGAGGGTAGGTTTTCCCTTGCGGTCAAATTCCAGGAGATTGTTTCGCAAAAGATATGGCAACTGGTTGTGGTCTACGGTCCGCAAGACAGGGAGGATAAGATGGAATTCCTTAACGAGTTGGATGCTTTTGGGAAGAATATTTATAATCCTCTATGCGTTGCGGGTGACTTTAATTTGGTTAGTTGCCATGATGAGTATAGGGGAGCTAGACGCAACAACAATCTCATGGTGGAATTCAATAATGTTATAGATGAGTGCGGATTCTTGGAGCTCCCTCTCGGGGGCAGCAACTTCACTTGGTGTAGATGAGTGCGGATCCTTTTCGTTTCTGCGAGCTTTGATGAAATCTTCCCGGATTGTTTCCTTACTGCACTTGATCGCATTGAATCGGATCATAATTCGATGTTGATCAGTTGGGGAGATAGACACAGAGTGCGTAAGCCTTGGAGGTTCGAGAACAAGTGGCTTGAAGATGCCAGATTCTTTACTAGTTTAAATAGTTGGTTTGCTTCTCAGATTCAGGGCCGGGGACTGGTTAATCGATGGTCAAGGAGATTGCAAGTTGGACATCGAGAAGGCTTTTGATAATGTGAACTGGAATTGCTTGTTTCTCGTCCTCTCTCGCATGCGTTTATCTAGACAATGGCAAAAGTGAATTAAGGGCACCATGTGCAGTCCTAAAATATTTGTCCTTGTTAATGGGGAATCGAAAGGCTATTTTAATACTCAGAAGGGATTGAGGCAAGGTGATCCTTTGTCCCTTTGGCTGTTAACATTGATCATGGATGTCCTTTCTTTTATGATCTCCAAGGTTCGAGATAATGGGAGAATTTCTGGTTTCTTCATGGATGAGCAGTGCGGTGGGGGGAGGTCACTCACTTATTGTTTGCTGATGACACTTTAATTTTTTGTGATGCTGAGTATAGCCAGGTGATCAACATCCTCGCTACACTTGCTTGCTTTCACGCAGTCACAGGTCTCAGAATTAACTTGGAAAAATCTGTCATGTTCATTGTTGGAGATGTGCCTAATTCTGATTTTTTCGCTTCCATATTTGGGTGTAACTGGAGTGCTGAGGCTTCTAGGTATTTGGGTTTTCCTTTTGAGGCTAAGCACAATGCAGTTTCGTTGTGGGATCCAATTGTGGACAAATATCAGAAGAGACTTGAAGGCTGGAAAGGCAGGTATCTTTCTTTTGGTGGAAGACTGACCATGATCAAGGTCATTCTTTCAAATCAGTCGGTCTATTACTTCTCTCAGCCGGCTCCTCTCTCTCAAGGAGGGCTTCGAATTATGGACCTTGCGTCTTTCATTAGAGCCATGTTGGGAAAGTTGCTTTGGCGCTTCTTTACTGAAAGGGACAGCTGGTGGATGGGATCGATTAACTGTAAATATCCGAATCAGCTCTTGGAGTGGTGTACTGCTAGATATAGGCAAGGTTTCTCTGGATCGGTGTGGGCAAATATCTCCAAGGAGTATGACAATTTCTGGCAGATGGCTAGCATCGATCCTGATAATGGTGATTGTGTCTCTCTTTGGCATGATAGTTGGATTCGCGGAGTGGTGCTTGCCGATGCTTTCCCAAGGGTTGCTGTTGCCTCTAGCTTTCCGAACGCTAGGGTCTCAGACGCCATAACCCCCTCAATTGAGAGTACTAGTTGGTCTACTCTTTTACATTTTAATCTTAGGTGGGGCGGGGGCGGGAGAGGGAAAGGGTTGATTTTATGAGTTTGCTTAATACTTTGGGGTCTAGACGTGTAACTAGTGGGCCTCCTCGGCCGGTTTGGTTGCCTTGTCCATATAGTTCTATCTCGGTTTGCTCTATGTACAGGTTCCTAATGGGAGAGGTGTTCAAAGGAGTCCCTGAGTTCCCTAGCGAGTCTGTTTGGAGACAGATTATCACTACAAAATTTAACTTCTTTCTATCGCTTGTGGTGCACAAATGGATCCTCACTCTTGAGAATCTCAAGGCAAGGGGTGGTTTCTTCCCAATAGGTGCGAGCTTTGCAGTAAGGATGAAGAAAATATCAGTCATATCTTTTCCCACTGTGGGTTTGTTAAGGAGGCGTGGAGCAGAATGAAAAGGGTATGTGAAAACATGGAGATTCCCGCTAGCGACATTCTTGACTCTATCAGGAGGTGGCCTAATAATCCTGATGGTAGCATGGACAACTGGTTCCACTTTGGTGCTCTACATGTGGTGTGTTGGCAGATTTGGCTCGAAAGAAATAGGAGAATTTTCCAGGGCACTCATCCCTTCCAAGACTTGTTTCTCGCAAAGCTTTAAGGGACATTGTGGAGTGGGCCATTACTTTTGGTAAGATGGATAAGGAACACGGAATGCAGTGGCTTGGGGATAAGTTGAAGTGTTGTTAATTAGCGCTTTGTCCTAGAGAATTGGATGGTTGTGGGTTGCTGTCTGAGTGTGGTTTTCGTGGGATGCCGGTTCGACTTTTCTATCTCTGTGTCTTTGAGGCTGCCTTGGATTGCTTTGGCTGTTGCTTGGTTCTATCACTCTGCTTGGTTTGCCTTGTTGCTGGTTTCATGTGGCTGCTTGCGTTGCTGTTCTTGTATGGCGTCTTTGCCTTTCTTCTTTCTTTTGCTCTTTGTTTCTTTGCTCTTTGTACTTTCTCGTTTGCTCATTGTTGCTCCTGGAGACCTTTTTGTTTTCTAGGGAGTTGGGTTCAGTTTTTTGTGAACCTTCGCTTCCCTGACTCTTTTTTGTTCCTTTGATTCTTTTTATTGCAATTCAATCACCATTATATAAAACAAAAAAAAAAAATAGAAACCTCATAAAGAAGAGCACTAGTTCACTAAAGCATATCACAAGTTTCTTAAAGTAGACAACGAGTTTGTAATAACAAACCACAAGTTTTTTAAAGTAGACCACAAGTTCCCTAAAGTATAATAGAAACCTCAAAAAATAGATCATAAGTTTATTAAAACAGACCAAACATTTCTTAAAACAGACAAGAAACCTTATTAATCATAAAAAAAGTTTATTAAAGGATACCACAAGTTTTGCCTTTTTTTAAACAGACTAGAAATCTCATAAAGCAGAAAACAAGTTTCTCAAAGTCTTATTGTAGAAAAAAATGTTTCTCAATGCATACTAGAAATCTCATAAACTTGGACCAATCTATAAACTTTAAAAAGTTAAGGTATCAAAATGTAAGACATAAAACTTTGGGTAAATACTATTTATTAGTCAAATCTTTCTCGCATTTTTTTATTACTCAAACCTAATAATAAATTACTAATAATCTTTTTAGTAATATTGACTTGGCAACATGATAATGACTTGAAAAAAACACATGAAGGTCAACATTCCAAAATTGTAGTATTTTAACTAAGAAAAGAGTTACAGTTTGTTAATAGTAACTTGAAATGGCTAATATATTGATACGTTACGAAAGATTTAACTAATTATTAGTAATTCAATAAGTTTGACTAATAAAAAATAATGAGGAAAAAGTTTGGCTAATAATTATATTTATCTTAAAACTTTTAGGCGGTAAAATATAATTTACATCAATATTTTTAGGACTTATATGCAAAAAATAAAATTTAGGTATTAAATCTCAATATGAAACCCAAAATTCATGGGTTGGGGGGATGAGATCCTGTTATGAATGAGTAGTTAGTATAATATACTTAATGAACTATGTTAGTATTGTGCTAATAATAAGGGTGTTAGCACCCTATCCAGATCCCTCATACAGTACCCTAGCTATAGCTGCTATTTAGCAACGATTCGACGAGAAAGTGGGATCTTGCACTTCGAACGAAAGTGCTTAATCACATAAAAGTTCGGGAATACAATTGTCATTTTGAAAAGTTCATAATATACATGTCAATTTCGTGCGAATAAAGAATTAGCCTTATGGTAATACCACTTATTTTGAACCTGTGAAGATACCAATTAGGCTTGGGCCTGATAAGATAAAAGTCAACCTACATAACCCTTAAAAATAGTTCAATTTCGCAACAAAGTTCAGAATCGATAATGGCATTAGCTCTCAGCAACCTAACCGATCAATTAACACCCTTGGAAATCTTTTTTGTTTAGGAATAAAAAATGACATATGTTATCTCATTCACAGAAAGGCTGGCCGCGGTCCGCGGTAAATACCCCGTTTAGTGTAGAAGATGACACAAACGGCGGCACAGGAGACAAATAAAGGGTTGTAAATGTTTGAAACCCCAGAAAGACTAGGGTGTCCAAGTAAGTAACACAAGAGGTTGTAGAAGATGCCTCCAGTTAATCTGCTCCCTCGGAGGAAACTCTCTCTCTCTCTCTCTCACTCTAACATCTCTAACCAAATTCTAAAATTGAAGCTCGACAATATAATCCCTCTAGCAAAACTTATAAATAAGAGAAGTTATGAATCCATACTATTTCCCTTTTTTTTCCCCCTCTATTTTCCTTCCTTCATGATTAGTGGATTACCCTTTCCAAACTAGTTTCAACAATCATACGTTTGAAGATTTATTATGATAGACTATAAGAAAAATAAAATGAAAATTAGCAAAAAGCGTAAATCAAGATATCAAATAAACTACTTGGCCATTCATAACCCAATTAATACATATCCTTCATTCTCAAGTCTCAACGAGTAGACTAAATTTGACAATCATAACAAGATTAATACACAAGAACCGATCAAGGGCGCCGGTTTTGCGTCAATTGTTATGATCGACTTCAACAAACCGGTCTATCTCTCGAGCAAATATGAGTTGCCGAATACTTGAGGCCACAGTCATGAAGTTGGAGGTCGCCTGCCAATACATGTGGGCACTCATCATCCACCAGGCGAAACTGTGCGTTGTAGAGACAGTTTGTGCAGTCGTCTTGAGTGCTGGACTCGGCGCAGTGAGCAGAGGTGAAGACGAAGAAACTGCCATAGCGCTAACCTTCACACTTGGGAGGCCCTCCGGGAATCACGGCAGCAATGGCAGCATTAGATGTTCTCAGTACCGGATCTCTTATCCGGTCGTCACTTATCCGGCTACAGCATTGGGCGACCATGGTTGTGTTGGGAGCGCCTTTAACGACGACGTTGCTGCCGCCGTCGCTAAAGATGAGCAAGAATGCGGTAAAGATGAATATCGTTGGAATCTTCATAGTGCAGAAAAAGGGGTGAATTTGTTGAGTTGATGGTGCGAAAGAGGACGTATTCCATTTATAATATAAATCACGAAGATCGAAACATAGCTGAAGATGTTGAAATAATTATTGTTGGCCGGGAAGCCGGCAAAGCACTACAAAGAACAAAGTCCATAAATATATAATTACGAGGAATTTTGCAATGCTATATAACATTGGTGTTATAGATTTTTATTTTTATGGTACAACTTGAAATTGTACCTTTAACGTTATGGTACAACTTCAAATTGTACCTATACTTTTTGTGCAAATTCTTTCATGGTAGAATTTGAACTTGTACCTTTATGTGATGGTGCAACTTCAAGATGTAAAGTTGTACCATAACATAATGATACAAATTCGTTTATGGTACAACATAAACTTATACATTTATTCTTATGGTACAACCTAAAATTGTACATTAAAACACCAATACTATATAGGATAGTAGAAGTGCTCATATAATTACGGAAATAGTGGGACCTGCCAAATGTGGGTTCGTTTCTGATCATTGGTTTCAATTTTGTTGGATCTTTCGTAGAAGACAATTTTGTTGATGAATGTTATAACTAGGTTTTGCCGGAATTCAACTGTCATATACATTAATACAACTCATATATACCCTATTATTGGGTTTTGTCGGAAGTAGTTTTGTTTTGTATGTAACAGAGAACCCAGCTGCAACGGCTGTTTTATATAGTGGAGATTTGCTTTCGTATATATGTGATTTTATTTTTAAAGATACGAACTGAAAAGAATGGCCATGCATTTCCTCATTCAAGAATGTACATATTGAATCATTATTAATGTCCAGTGCAATTTCCTTTTCTAAGTCATACGTGGTAGAGCTTTCCGTGTGGAAACCTAATTTGTCTTTTTGTAAGTCATATATGGCAGAGCTTTTCATGTTAAAACCTAATTAGTAAGCATTATGCTAATACTAATCCCATACAATAGGAACATTTTGTTTTGATAATTTTTTATTTAAAGGGGTTGAGCAAAATTCATACGAATCTATAAAATGAGGGGCACACTTGTCGTTAAAATTGGGAAGCCACATGCGTGTGGCGATGTGCATTAATTCCACATTCCGCGCCTCACCACAAGTATCATTAAGGAGACCACACAACCCAGACTAGAAACACAACAAACCATACAAAAAAAAAAGAAGTTATAAAGCATAGTAGAACCTCATCACACCATTAAATTAATAAAACATAATAGTAATATCAAAGTAGACAATAGGTTCCCAGAAGCAGACCGTGCAAACGTTCCTTAAAGCATACCATAATTTTATTAAAGCAGATGACAAGTTCCTTGAAGCAGATTAGAAACCTCATAAAAAAGAGTTCAAGTTCACTAAAGCATATCACAAGTTTTTAAAGCAGACCACGAGTTTGTTTTATAACAAACCACAAGTCTAACTTCCCATAAGGTGAAGCCTAGAAGTCCATCTAGGGGGCATGTGGTGTCTAAGAGACCACATCAATCACAAGCAACACATGCTTGTGCTAAGCATGCTAATTTGGCTAAGTTTGGAAATGGGGGCATGCATCCAACCAATTGTAGTGGAAATTGGGGCATATCTAACAAGTCACGACGCGAGAAAGCCATAAAAAGTTGTTGCATATTTGAAAATTTGGCTAAGTATGGACAACGCATGTCCAAAAAGTCATATGAAGTCCAAGCCACACTTGTTTGTGATAAGCATGCTAGTCTGTCTAAGTTTGGACATGGGGGCATGTCAGTGTCACCCATCATGAAGTATGAAGTAGGGGGCATGTCTTGGAAGACACAACAGGTCGAAGACACTCATGGCTTTTGTAAGTGTAAAAATATGATTAAGTCTAGCATGCCACCAATCACAAACGGTGGACATGGGGGCAAGTCCAACAAGGAAAAACGTGACAAATCCAAAAAGATTTATTGTGGTCTTACAATTACGAATATAGCTAAGTATGGAAAAGAAGGCATGTCACCGACCATAAATAATGGGGTAGGGGGCATGTCCAATAAGCTAAAAGAAGTCCAAGCCACACATGCTTGTGACAAGCATGAAAATTTGGCTAAGTGCGGACAGGGGGCCAAGTCCATGTCCATGAGTAATAGGTACATGTTACCAACCACGAAGGGTGGACAAGGGAGCATGTATAAGAGGTCACAATACAAACAAATGAAGCATGACTGCACAAAGAAACAAGGATGGTTATGTGCTAAGTGTAAAAGCCAACAAGGTTTAGATGTGGAAAGACAAAGGCAAATGGACCACATTAGTGGTAGCCGACTTGTCAAGCCTAGACATTGTCTCCAAGAACATGAGGGGAGTAAGCATGTTCCTACCATGAGGAAGCCAAGGCATGCAGAGGGATACTAATGGTCGTCTTAATATGGCAAGTGATGTGGCTAAGGTATATGAGCATGGGACCAAATGGAAGGCCACCAAGGCTAGACATGACGACCATATACCACCCATTAGTAAGCTAGAAGATTCGAATTTAATGTATGGAGAGTCATGTTCCATGGAGGAAAAGAGGCATGTTGTTTAAGTTGGGTCATGTGCATGATTAAGAGGTCCATGGTCGTGTCATGTGATGGCCATGGACGCGAAGCAAGAAGCATTAGAAACGATTGAAAATACTAAGTTTGGAAAGGTCATGCCGCCTAATGAGAGGAGCCTTGTGCATGATTGAGAGGTCCATGCCACCTCACGAGGATGACCATGGACACGAATGAGAAGGGCGTGGTGGTGGAACATTATATCACTAGTGACTAAGTCCCAAGAGGGACTACAGGAAAAAGACCATTTAATCACGGTATATCTAGTGTCTAAAAGTGTGTTTCCCGTGTTTAATAGTTTTATTCACGGGAAAATTACCGTAATATATACCTCCGTGTTTAATTGTAAAGGTCACGGGAACTTTGTACCGTGACTAGTTATAACTAGTCACTGTATGATTTCCCGTGATAATATATACTTACTAATCACAGGAGGCCCTGTGACTAATGTCAAGTCTTGCCACACAAAACCGAGAAATAAAACTCATTTAGAGACGGATGTAGAGCTTTTAACACAGTATTTACCGTGATAAAATTGTTTCCCGTGACTAGATGCCAATCGTTAGTCACGGTATTTGGCTGATTCTCTTGTGTCTAGATGCTAACATTTGATCACAGTATTTGGTTAATTCTCCCATGTTATACACTAACATTTGGTCACGATATTTAACGGATATTTTCCTTAATTAATTGCACCTGGTTTTCTTTCTTTCTAATGCTTCGTGTTTGAGCTTGTAGTATTGAGAGTAAAACTAATAAAATGAAGATACAAATACCCTTACAAATGATGTCCACAGCCAAAAGTCATTACAAATGATGTCCCCTTAATAGCCAAAAACAAAGTCATTACAGATGATGTTCCTTAATGAAATGATGTCAGCTTAATAGCTAAAACAACCTCACTTCTGCAATTCATCTTGTAGATTAGTAGATTGAAATGACGAGACAAAAGATGTCAAGTGAAAGCAGCTTCTGTCTTGTTATATTAGGCGCCAAGAATGACATCAAAATGTGGCCCTGCATCCATACAACATAATAAGTTCATTAACTTTATTTTTCCAAAACTCATTACAAGTGAATAAAGGCATATGGTATAACCTGTGCCAACCTCCCTAATGCAAATGCTGACTTTTCCTGAAGCTGCACATCCAAAGCCTCAAGCATATCAATCAAGCAGAACTCTTGTGCCACAAAGAAAGAAAGGAAAGATAAAAGTCAAATTACCATTTGCATTCACCATTACATAGTGCCTCAAGGAGCAAACCTAGACGGAAAACAAGAAAAAGCATAAAGAGACTGGGCAACTATATTATACGTCCAAAAACCTTGCTCTTTGATCACTGCCAGCAATGCCTTCTTGGGTAATTCAAGCCCCTGCAAAAGATAACAGTAGTCTAACAAAATAAGAAGCAATCAACACATCAATTAAGTTGCAAGTGAGAGAGAGACCATGTAGGAAGAACCCAGCTTAATCTTGCTGAAAAAGAACCTAAGCAGAACCCAACTTGAACATCCATCACAAGAATGTAGGAACACCAACTGTCAGTTACACACCTTTCTCAAATCCCTATATCTAGAAGCATGGACGCCATAAAAATCAAGAAAGAAACCAAATATATCTATGAACACAAGCAGATGGTCCCATTAGTGATTTCTCTGAGTCAATTCCCACTTTTTTTAAGCATTACAATGTCTCTAGCACTGTAACAGTACTGCTTCAATGCTCTATCAGTGTTCTTAACACACCTGAGAAGCACCTGCAAAACCAAATACAACCCATACAAAGAACTTGAGACAATACTGCAAGTATTATCCAAAACACCAACTAAATTATCTACACCAATGAATTTCAGAAGGGAGCTAATCAAACCAAAAAAGAAAGAAATAAGTAGCATATTGCGTTCTGGGCTGAAAGCAAGCCTTCCAATCCAGAATTCATTTATACCCTGAAATCACAGATGCTGAAAGATAAAAACAATCCACAACAGTATAGAAATAGATACACCGAACTACTAGATGTAACTTAGTCCTCCCCTTCGGGATCTACCTTTAACAAAAATTGGCAGCAGCTAGTAACAACAGAAAAGAGATAGGAATGACGGAACTGGAAGTTTAAACGCCTAACTAAAATAACATTCTAAGGTTTATCCTCCCTAGAAACAAGATCCAGATGAGAAGCTAAAATTTTATAGTGACATCATTTAGAAGAATATAAGACCCATCCACGTTGAATGTATGCAAATCAGGACACATCACAAAAAGAATTTTTAAGAATAAGACTCTAGTTCAAAAGTAAGACCTTCTAAGTTATTGGACCATAGAGTAGTATATTAACCTTTCCACCCTTAAACTCTGACACATCTAGCATCCAACATAGCATTAAGTTACTTATTGTTAGCTTGTTTCAGGATTACAAAAGCATTAAAAATTATTACTGTGCGGACCAGGAGACCGCTATTAACCCATAACAGAAACAACTCTGACCTCTGATGAAAAGCTATATCAAGATTCCTGCTAGGAATCTACAGCAAACAGATGAATCAGAGTTTACTTTAATGTACATGAGAAAAGATAACTATACAAGCAATAGTAAATCCAATCCCGGTCACTTCGTGGCCAACAACATTAGAAAGAGATTGCTCAATTATTTAACTGAGAAGTTATACTCACATGACTCCATAGCAAGAATACTAGAAGCCTGTGTTTGATTCGTTTGGTAAATCTATTTTGGATGCAAAGTCACATGAAAACGTCAGCAATGATACAACAAGGCACACAAAAGAATCCTCATTATCAATGTATGATACAGAGCTTTTGGTTCCACTTTGCATGTCGAAAACTACACCCTCCAACATTGCTAACCTCCTTCCGCCAGAACAACCAACAAATCCAATAAGTGAGATACTAGAAATCCATAATCTGTTAGTATCAAAGTTTAGTGAATACTTTGTAAGCTCGGGCAAATAGAAATTGCTTGTCATTATACATCTGCGACATCTTAGCTCCATGCTTTGGAATATGTATCTTCCCCCACGAAGCATAGCATGACATGGACATCTTCATGCCCACATAATTGCAAACTTCTATGTTCGGAGACAGAGACAAGAAGGATAAATTACAAACAAATCAAACATGTCTGGTATTAAACACAAAACCACTTGAGAGGTTGGGATGGAACTTGTTCCTTCTGCAAAACGTCTCTTTATTCTTAATCCTAATGCTTGCTTGAGTCCTCATGACTTATGCTTTCTCAAGTTGTAGCAGATGAGAGAGGCTTAAGTTAAGCAACTTCATGAGTTATCAAGAAGAAGTATAGCAATAAACAAATTCCCAAAGACCCCCGATACTGGATTCAAACACAAAATCCTAGATTACTGAAGAACTCCAAATTATTAAACACAACCCATGTTAATACAAACCAAACACCAATCCTTAATCTTAGAATCACAAATAATCTGATAACCCTAAATTAACTAGGCCAGTAACCAAAATCATTTAACAAGCTTAGTTGGTCAGTTAACTAGGCGGGGAGGCACCGCCCAGCGCCTAGGGCGATTAATCGTCGCCTAGGCGAGATTAAACGTGAAAAAAAATTTGACCTAAGAAGCTCTTAATCCACCATACTCATGCCTACAAATCTCAATCCAACATAAATCAGCAGCATATCCTACTACCCTTTATCATTAATCCATTATTCATCATTCATCAACCCATCAACCGAGAGCGGTAAGGACGAGTGAGTCACTGTAATAAACCAGGATATGAAAAGGGGTTAGTTGTAAGTAGGATAAGTATGGGGACTACTATGGATATTGTGTAAACAACTATAAAAGCTTCTCTACGCAACTGTAAGAAAGAATAAGAAATAACAGAACATTTTCCCAATCTCTTCTGTCTCCTCTTCTTCTTACCTTCTTCTGTTCGTCTTCCACATCTGCTCTCCTTCTGAATTCCCTCCTTCCCTCTGATTCTTCCTCTCTAGTTTTCTTCCTCTTCTCAGATTCTATACTTCTTCTCTTCCATTCAAACTTCACAGACTCATAGTTCGCCGGAATCGATCCTTTGTCGATCAATCATCACAGTCACAAACCTTCTCCAACTAGATGATGGCGATCGACGACGACAGCTATGGAGACCGGCGACGACAATTTTGGAGGAAGACTTTGCGATGGCGGCGAGGACGAGGCGCACCACGATGGCGGCGAGGAAGAAGCGCAATAGATGCTTGCGACGATGACCCTGTTGCAATGCTAGAGACGACAGTGGCGGTTTGCTGGAGAGGAGAGACGATGGCGGCGGTTGGCTAGAGATGAGGGAAAGCTACGACGGCTGCTGTGCAGGAGGGTGAGTTGCTCTTCTGCTACTCGATTGGAAATGAAAGGGATTAGGGTTTTTTTTGGCCAAACGCAGCAGCATCTCCTCCCCCTTCTCCTGTTCAGGGGCGCCGCCCAACAGCAAGGAATCGCGACTTCGAGCTACTAGTCGCCGTCTCGGCGTTTTTCAACGCGATTCTGCGTTTTGCAACCCCAGCCACTTCGCCCAGGGCTAGACTCCACGATTTCCCCTTGCCCAACGCCTAATCGCGCCTAGGCGCACGCCTATGCGCGTCTTCTTAAACACTGTGGTCAGTATAGACGTATGAAGGAATTGAGAGTGTATCACCTAGATTCCTTATATCAAACCTACCGATAAGGTGTGCATGTCCAAGCGTCCACCATTTTCGGCGAAAGTAATCATTAACGATGACTTCCTCTGTCTCCTCTAAATTGAGAGCGGGAAGGTAGGGCGGTGACTTCGTCTCCAGCGGGACCAAAGTTCCCGGTGCTTCCCTCCCACGGTTGAAGCCCCATACCTAGAACCATGTCCTTGAGAGTCTGGATGACTGAAACAGACAACACCAAGACGCTACAAATCTATCAAGATTTGCGCGAAACCACATTAGAAATACTCAATACGGAGCTCAACTTAGGGAATGGGATAGAATAAATTGGATTTTGGCGTGAGAGAGGGGTTTACCAGCAGGGTAGAATCTTCGAGGAAGTTAAGTGAAGTTGCCAGCGGGAACGAAATGGAGCTTGTTGATTTCGGAGTGTTAGCCCTGATGAGTCGTCTTCGCTGAATGGATTTCAGAGATCGAGTAGGAGACGTGCAAGGATAAGAGGGAAAGAGAATGGTGAAACCCCCATATACATGGTACAACCCAGATCTATAATTCATGATAGAGATTTGATGGGAAGAAGAGGGAAAACGAATGAGGATTGTCGAGGAGTCTGAAGCTCTAAGCCGGAAAACGAATGAAATTGGAAGTAAAAGAGGTGGGATAGAGAATCAACTTCCACTTTTGCTTTTGTTTTACGATGGGAATCCGCTCGAGGAGAGAGGGAACATAAATCGCGATGTGCAACCCCCACTTTGCTTTTGTTTTACGGGTGGGCGAGATAATTTTCGTTGGCGGCTTTTTGGAGCCCAAACGAAATTTTGTTTGTGGGAAGTTTTGGTGGAGGAAGTTTGGAGCCAAACCAAAATTTTCCCATTTAAATTTTGGTAAATGTTCTGAACTAAAATTATGACAGTGTTCACAGTAATTAACCGTGATTAACAATTAGTCACGGTAAATAAGGACTTAAAAATTATAAAATCAATTCCCCTGTTTAGATCTATATCGTCAATTACAGGAAATTTTCCCATGACTACTAGTATACTTTTAAGTACAGTAAAAGTTCCCGTGAATAGGATACCGTGTCCAAAAACCAGTTTTCCTGTAGTGTGAGTAAGAAGTCCATGGCCATGAGGCAAGAGAACCATGACCCCTTTTGCGAGACACCACATGCTCGTCAACAGACTAGCATGGCACGAGATTCAGAACAAGACCAGACAAGGCAAGCTACACTCCAAGACCCACAATGGTTCCAAAAGAAGCACCTAGGCGGTTGGAGGAGTAACCACCACTTTGAGGAAGCAGGGAGCGGTTCTTTTTGGGAGTTATCCAAGAGGAGATTTTCTACCGAAGAAGGAGGAGCGTTTCTTTGTAGCAATTATCCAACAAGCGGTTTTCTATGGCGGTTACCTCCTTGGGGCTATAAATAAGAGGAGGGGTCGACAGAGACAGGGGTCCACAACCAAAACATCTGACACACATGTCAAGTTTATCTTTTACCTGTTCTCTATCATGTAGCCATAGATGTAGTTCGTAGTTTGGAGCTCTCGCCGAACCTCCATAGGAGTAGAAGTAATTTAATTTAGATCTCGTTCCCAAAAACCATCAATCAAACACCCTCATTCGAACTTTGTTTGAAGAGGTTTGAGCCGTGTCTTAGAAATCGTTGTCCATAGAAGTCAAAGGTGCAATCCATTAAGTCATTTCAACGCAAGTTTTCTCGCCGAAAAACAGTCATCATCGCCATACTCATCGCAATAGATGCACAATCCTCCTCAACATCTGCCGCTGCTGCTCGCCACAAGCTTCTCTCGACCGATCAAAACATCATCAATTTTACCCACAAGGTCCTTGATGATGGCGGAAATTCTTCTGCCTTAAGATCAGCCCACAAAGAGGAGGACCATGCAGCGGTAGACGCTGTCGAATTACCACCAGACTGCGGCCTATGGAGGGGCCGTGTTAAAAAATGTGCGTTGATTATCACTTGCCTTGCTGCAGCGAGTATGATATATGTGGCATTGGTCCGGATTTTTGTGGCGTGGGATGTTGTCAACATTATGATAGCAGCAACCCAGGCAACAATTCATGTGAAGCCCCAGCCCCATTCTAGCTATATCGTTTAATAAGTTCAATTGCGTCGAGGGAGGAAAGTCAACGACTTGTATAACGGGATTTTCTTATTAGACTTATATTGAAAATAAAAAGAAAATTCGAAAATACGAATATGAAAAGCAATCACACTATACGAGATTTATGTTGTTTCGTCATCCAATATTATTATTATGCTTTTCAATCTTAGGTTTTAGCTTCCTGCATACATAGCCTATAAATACCAGAGGATAAGTATAGAAAGATTGCCCAAACCCTGAGGTCGCCATGGGTGGGGTTCCTTGTAAGGATGGAGCTCCTTCAAGCAAGAGCTGTGATACTAATTGAGATTGGGGCAAGGTTAATTAAAGCCCATTAAGAGACTTGGTTTTATTTAACTAAGCTCCTTGTTTTCAGCAAGAGGGCCTGCCAAGGAGATTCTATTCTACTGCATTCACTTGGCCCAAATTGGTTCTTGGCTGAAGAGTAGAGACCTTCGTCTTCCTCCGAATTTGGGAATGACAACGAGTCAGGCCGGGATGGAATAATACATATCCGTTATCCTATTTAAAATAGTTCGAGTTTTATTCAGATTCATACTCACATAAGAATTGGGTAGAAAATCAAAATCATATTCATACTCATTCAGGGTTCGAGTTTTATGTGTACCCACTAAAAATTCTTCGAGTTCAAATTTTACCCTGCCCAATTAAATTAGATTCAAGAGGATATCCACGCTTGCAGATATTTTTACCATCGCTCAAAAGAACAAAGTATGACAGAAAACAAAGCAAGAAATAAAACACAAAAACAAGAATGGGAAATAAAAGAAGGAAGAGAAAAATAAACACATCAATTTAGCGTGTTTCATCATCAATGGCTACTCTTAGTAGAGGTTACTATACGGTCCGGTCCGATTAAATTGGACCGAATTGAACCGGTTCCAGTCCGGTCTTTTCGGGAATCTAAGGACCAAAGATTGGAATGGATACAGTCCGGTCTTGATCCAGTTCGATCTTGACCCAGTTCGGTTCCAATTCGGTCTTGATTTTACATTGACCTTGTGGGGAATTGAGTGACCTGAGGCCTCAAAGGGAGAAGAGTTGGTTAAGTTTTGGGTTTGGGCTCTCTTATCCGGTCTTTATTCGGTTTTCGATCCGGTCTCAAAAAGATTTTTTACCTAAAATCTAAGCCCGAAGATGAGATTGGATTGTTTGCTATCCGATTCCTGTCCGGTCTCGATCCGGGTTATACGGTATGGTTTCGAGTAAAACCAAATAGCTTGAACCAAATAACCAACCCTAACTCTTCGGGTAAAATGATTATAATACCACTTATGTTTCTAAATGGGCAGAGTCATATCACTTATCTTTATTTAGGGCATGATATACTACTAAACTCATTGTTTTATGTATCATGTACCATCCGATTTTAGTATTATGTCACATTGGTTGGTACAAGTATTATGTGCATTGTGTTGAAGTTAGAAGAATATTGTGTTTTTCAAATTTCACAATAAGTCCGTCTACTGTGTTATTTCGCAAAAACTCTTCCAAACTTGTTAAAAGAATATTATTTTTTATTGATTTACATAAAATTTTAATTTAGGCTCTAATGCAAATATATACTATACCAAAATTTATATTTCTTTTTTTTTTGGTGGGAACAAAATTTATATTTCTACTTTTTCCCTTATGATATTTTCCAAACTCTATTCCTTTATTTGGAACCTATATTTTCAATTGTAATGATTTGCTCTAATTGCAATTATTTCTTGGAGTAAATATATTCTATGGACTCTATCTCGATTTTTCTATATATTAAATATTTCAACATTTTGTTTGGTTTTAGATTTTTTAAATCTTCATTTGTTTGTATTAATAAACCTTTTTGTTTTTTCAATTTTCTAATTCTTTTAACGAATTCGCACAACAGTCTAATATACCGTTTGGTATAAATAAATTCCATAAGTTTCGAGATATTCATTTTGAAATGAAACATTTTTGTGTTTGGTATATAAAAGAATTCATTTTCAATTCTAAAATTTGAATTCTATGGAATTGGAACTAGTTATTGCAATTTCGAGAAATTGAGATTGACTTTCCAAATGAATTCCACAAGTATTTACAAATTATAATGTAATGATATATTTATTATATTTTATTAACTAAATTACTTATACATATAACATACCTAACAAAGGAATTCATTTGATAATGAATTCTACGTGGCATTTCATTTTATTTCTAAAGATTTTTATATGACATACCAAACACAAAATTTCATTTGACAATGAATTTTACACAGAAAATCATTTTACAATGAAATGAATTCTGAATTCATTTGGTACCAAACGGTTTGTAAATCTAAAATGTTTCAAACTTTTAGTCGAGTATTTGGTAAGTTAGTTTACTCCATCCTCTTCCTCTACGAAGTGTATAGGAACTTTCAAAAGATATTTGATCATCATTATACTCATTAAAATGTCATTATTAAGATGTTTATGGTTGATCTTCTGTTTTTACATCATTTGTGTAATAATTTTCATCACTATTATAATCAAGAATTATTTTATCGTTTTCAATATTTCTTCTATTCTGGGTTCAGATTCTATAGGTACTGATGCTAGGAAATTATTTAATATATTTTTCCATCTTCAATGTTTGTCATAGTACTTTGTAGGGTGGTACAGATGTTAAAGAAACTATTTTTTATATATTTTTCCATCTTCAATGCATCTTTTATGATCTAATTTAGTTGTTATTTTATAAATTTGATTATTATTTCTTGAAGATCGTCTTCTGTTAATATTATTTATTTTGAATTTGAACTTGATTTGTCAATTGTTTTTTCTCTATATTTTATGTCCGCTAAATATAATTTTAGTAATTACATTCTTATATAATTTTAAATCTGAGTATAATTTTTTTCTTCTTCACATTGTCATTCTAAGATCACTTTTATATATTTATTATTGTTTTATAGTTTTCTGCTATGATTTCTTGATTTTATATTTTTTCTATTGAAATATTTTTAATATCCTTCTTAGTAATTCCATGTTCTTAACGTTTTATAATTTTGTATGTAATTTTGAATAATATTTGTTGAATTACTACAACTTTAAAAGTTTTGGGTACCAATAGATTAAGAAAATTTTAGGTTGGATAGTACACTTAACTGTAGCAATTTTGGGCTAATTTAGTATTATCCGCTAAACTACAGTTAATTTAATATTATGGTTGCACCACAACTCAAAGTTCAGTGTTGTTCTCTAGTACTTGTTGAGCAGACTAAGGAATAAGAGAAAATTTAGAAGGTGTTCCTTCTCCGTATGTAGTCTCATTCACATTGAATCGGGATATCACGTAAGACCGTTGTGTTGTGTGTTTTCTTCCTTTTTTTCTGATGCGAAATCAAAAAATTCTCACTGAAAGCCGAGTTGTCATCAGAAAAAAAATCCAATGTGCTTCTCAAATCTGTACAATATCCACAATGTAAAGAGAACTATGAAAACATCAACTATAATCTATTAATGTTTTCTAGTTCTAACTGAAGGGCATGATCTCTAGTTGCTCGATATAGAACATCTGCTTTAACCATCTTCACCAACTCCCACATACTCTTGGCTGATTTCATTCCTTACATCCGGGCACATCGCTCTCACCAAATATGGCTAAGAGGTGAACTCCAAATCAACCTGCATAAACTGTCATAACCGGGCTGCTCATTAGTATAATATTGTCCGCTTTGGCCAAGCCGCACGGATTTACTTTTGGGTGTCCTCTCCAAAAAAGTCTCGTACTAATGAACTTGGTGGACACTAATATACAAGGGTTCCTTCCCTTGTATTAATGATGTGGTACTTGGATTATCCCATAACAATCCTCCCCTCAACACAAGAACCATGAAATTCGTGTTCTCGCCTCAGCGACTATCTTGATCCGTTATACACCTTGTATCGATGTGCTTCTCGGTACAAGGATTTTCCCAGATGCGGAACACTCTTTGATCCGCCAAACAGACATTTTAAGCTTTGTTTTATAAGAACACGAAACAAGAATGTGATCTCTATTCTCAACCCTTCCTGGACACAATAAGCACATACCCGACACAAGTTCACCCCAAGATTGCAGCTTGTCTTGGGTAACAAGTCCATCATGCATTGCTGATCAGAATATAAAACTATGTCGAGGTATAATTTCCTTAGCCCACACAAGGTTCCACAAGTTAACCTCTTGTGAATGACATCGAATAGAATCCAATACTCTTGTGACTGAGTATTTTTGCATCTGCTCGCCCTACCACAAAACATGAGGTTGCAGAGAATTCCCAGATAATTTTCTTCCCTTTTCTCTTTCTCTATTGATTTATTATATTATACGCTGCAATTTACCGACTATTTTTCAAGGGACACTGTTATTAGATTTTCTGAAATTGAAAAAGTACAAAGAAAGACTCGAACGGGCTAAGCAAATACGACAGAAAAAGCACCCAAGAACCCAGACCAAAATTGATCTGTTACAACCTTGTGGAAATAGAACCTCTACCACTCTTGAAAGACAAGCCCTTCGTTATCACAATTACCAAGTCAAGTCTTTTCCCCACTGATCACTTGGTCTATTACAAAGTTGGAGACACAGCAAAACCTCAATCACAAAACCTGGAGGTGTCGTACTTCACCCAACAATCGCCAACTTCGAGCTGGCCACCGAACGAACGTGGGCACAGTTTGTACATGAGCCGGTTCCCAGATTTATGGAGACAGTCTTTGCAGTCGACGGGAGAAATCGAGCCGAAACAGTACGCAGAGGCGGCGACGGTGAGATAGCCCTGTACGTATACCTTGCAGGAAGGGTCGTGGCCGGGCTGTGCATCATCAATCGCATCTCCCAGTGAGAAAATTGCCAGGCTTCTCATTTCTTTGCTGATTTCTTGCTTCAAGCCGCAGTCGTGATAGACCTTGGTTAGGTTTGGACCGCTTTCCACGACGGCGACGAAGATGCCGTCGCTAAAGATGAAGGCAGCTGCCATAATAACAAGGATTGTAAATATTGGCCGTGTCATGGTTATTATTGATTTGCTTAATGCCGTCGCTAAAGATGTATTTATAATGTAAACATAAAACATATACTCTTGATATCGCTACATATTGTCACGTAGTTGATTAATGTTGTGTTACAAGAATTCTTAGAGTTGGTGGAGTTCTATAGGCGTACGGCTCATGCCCTATCCGATTCTTTTCTGCCGTTTAGTTTTCTCTAGGGTAGTTGTTTTGTTAAGTGATACGGTATCTGAAGCGGCTTCTTTCTTTGATTTATTATTTTCTTCTCTTAAGCTGGTCAGGGGCGGACCCAGGGACACCCTTAAATTTTGGAAGATCGATTATCCAACCCCCGGTGTTAATTTACGTGTAGACAAAAAAATTATAACTAATAGTCTGGGACACCCTAAAATTTGAAAACGATTATACTACTCTCGTTTGTATTGTGCGTATGAGAATATAAGTGGTAGTTTGGGTAATTCAAACCCGGGACACTACTATTACTAATAAATATAATTTCCATTAGGCTACAACTTTTTTGTTGCTATATTCTAAACACTGTGTAATAGCAAAACTCTATTCTCTATCTTTCATTATTTTCAAAACCTAACAATTAATCTAATTACAAGTTACCATTAATTTGTATTGATTTTATGGTTGTACGACACGTGTTGAAAGTGTTTTTTCAGCTTTGAGTTACATCATGAACAAATTTAGAATTCAAATATGCGTAAGCTCGTGAATGATCGTCTAGTAGGGTATACCGAGACAAATTTGTTGAGCAGTGTATACACCAAATATTTTTTATAATTTGTTTAGAATATGAAAATACATCATTGACTTTTTTTTAACTTGAACGAGTTGGCTATTTTCTTACTAAATAATAATATAATTTTTATTAATTATTAATTATTTTATTTTTATTTTATTTTATTTTTTGAAAGAGGACACCCCTATGTAAATTTTCTGGGTCCGCCACCGAAGCTGGTGATCATAAACCTTGGGACTCGTTTCAAGCCACCACTTCACCTTTGTGAAATCTTGTTTTTAACGTACCTACACAAGCTGTTGGGCTGAGGATTTGAGAAACTGTGCGGTCTGTTGCATTATTAATTATTAATATATTAAAGCCGCAAGATTGCGGCAAGTGAGCTTACTGTTCCTCACGACAAAATAGGGAAATAATTAACCCAGGTATTGTTCATAAAGGGGCTGTATCCCCTATACTCAATCTCGTGGTAAACCATTTTTCATATATAGTTAGTTTTTTTTTTGTAGAACATATATAGTTAGTTGTTTGTACTCTTTTGCAATAATTAATATATTAAAGCCGCAAGATTGCGGCAAGTGAGCTTACTGTTCCTCACGACAAAATAGGGAAATAATTAACCCAGGTATTGTTCATAAAGGGGCTGTATCCCCTATACTCAATCTCGTGGTAAACCATTTTTCATATATAGTTAGTTTTTTTTTGGTAGAACATATATAGTTAGTTGTTTGTACTCTTTTGCAATAATTAGGAAATCGCAGCGAGTTCATATCGGATAAAAGGTGGTAGAGTATTTTGTACTAAAATCTTGGTTTAATTGCGGTTCAACTGTTCCATATCCACCTACCGATTTGGGTCTGTATCCCCTATACTCAATCTCGTGGTAAACCATTTTTCATATATAGTTAGTTTTTTTTTGGTAGAACATATATAGTTAGTTGTTTGTACTCTTTTGCAATAATTAGGAAATCGCAGCGAGTTCATATCGGATAACAGGTGGTAGAGTATTTTGTACTAAAATCTTGGTTTAATTGCGGTTCAACTGTTCCATATCCACCTACCGATTTGGGTCTGGTATTCATTATTTTTTGTTCTACCGACCGGTACGATAGAGTTTCTTAAACATTGAGTTTTTTTTGTTTGATGAAAATTCCTCAATTATTAATAGTACTGCTCACAAGGGTTTGATGTAATAGTTATGGAAATTAAATTACTTTTTTATGTAAAACTTATGGAGGGATAGTTATTCCTTATAAATCATTTTAACAAACATATTATATAACTCTTCCATTTTGATTAAAACACTATACAAAACACATGAAAGGATAATTATTTTTTATGTATCAATTAGACATACATATTGTTTAAATCTTTTTGAATCCACGTTTAAATAAAAATCCTTTATTATTAAATAGACTATTGGCAATCTCATCAATTAAAAAATACAAGTTTGTGTAAGGTCATTTATTTTGTATGTAATAGTTTAATCAAATTTAATACTTTCTGTAATTCATTCTCTTTGTTATTAACTGCAATCTCATCAATTAAAAAAATACAAAGTTTGTGTAAGGTCATTTATTTTGTATGTAAGTTTAATCAAATTCAGTACTTTCTGCAATTTATTTTCTTTTTTTATTAACTGAAATATTTATCATTTTATCAATTTGCAGTAGGCAAAGGTTCTGTAAGCTCAATCAATTTTACATAACAAAGTAATCAAATGTAACTTTTCGTAACTTGAATTTTAATATTGGATAAAAAATAATGAATGACTTACATAACATTGTTCTATGAAAGATATGTACATTACAGATACATCATGTATTAAGCTTATGTATCACTTTAACAAACTAATGACGTAATTCATTCTTACTGATCCAGACACTACGTAAAACATATGAAGATATTTTATCTAAATTTTTTTATTTCAACTAAATTATTAAAAAAAAATTAAAAATTAATTTGTTTATTGCCGCTGCAAAGCGCGAGCCAAAAAACTAGTATTATATAATACATTGTATGGTCTAGATTGAAGGGTTGTGACATAGATTTGAGGTGAGACTAGATATTATACGGTTCAAATCAAATCACGCTTGTAAAATTTTATTGTGAGTGCGATTCGAATCTTGCAAATTATGAGCTAGTTTGACAATGTTGTATCTTTTGCAAAAGCAATTTCTCATTAGATTTTTTAGATAATTACATAAACAAAAAACCAGTTCAATGTTTGACCGAATAAGTAATAGTAGTATTTTTTTAATATAATAAGTTATGTAAAAAAAATATAAAAAAATATAAAAATAAAAATTCAAAAATTAAAAGGTAGTAAAATTGGATGTTTTTAGATTCCTTTTATATTAAATAATATAATTTTAAATGATATTATATTTTTTAAATTATATAAAAGAAAGAAGGTATATTTAAGGAATAACCCGCCAGACCTGCAACCCGATAGACCCGCAACCCGACTAACCCGCAACCCGATCGACCCGCAACCCGATCAACCCGCAACCTGACCAACCCGCAACTCGATCGAACCGCAACCCGATTAACCCACAACCCAACCAACCCGCAACCCGACTAATTCGAACTCGTAACTCGACCAACCCGCCGGTTTACTTCAGCAAGCTGAAAAATCTACAATATGATCAATTACAAACCCTAATTCACCACAAAGCCGAATTTTCAACTCCAAATTCGAATTAAAGCATGAAATCAAGATCAAACCATCCCAATAATCGGAAAGAGGAAAAGGAGTACAATACATCTCGGTAATAGAAATTGCGGGAAAGCCAAAATTAGAGAATTGTGAATCCAAATATTTTTGGAGCCATAATTTAGGATTGTAGAGCCAAAAGTTTCTAGAGCCAAAATATTGGGTTGTAGAGCGGGAAACAAAGGCGGGAAGATGGGAGGGTTTGCAAAAATTAATGGTAACAGTTTAATAAGGATTGCAATTCTTGAACCAAATTGATAGGTTTTTCTAACCTCAATTATGGAGTTGTCTTATACAAAAGGAAGATAATTTGAATTGATTTAAAAATATGTTTAGCCAAATTTTATTGCTTTGTGAACTAAATTTTTTTTAATACTTTTGAAGAGGATAAGGGAAGCAATGGAAAGGGGAAGGGAAAGGGAAAGGTCAAGAACGAAGAGAAGGGGAAGAAATTGAAAGAGAAAGGGAAAGTAAGGGTTTGTGTGTATTTTAGCTTTTTAGTTTTTGTCTCATTGACTGTACCGTACAAGAGAAGGGGGAAATTGCGGGAGAGAAGAAGAGCCACGACTCTAGAATTTGGGCGCGTCAAAGTTTGGGATTATGGAGCCAAATTTTGGGCGAAAATTTAGAGTTGGAGACGCGTGAATGAATGCGCCCATACAGGAGAATATTTGGAGCATAGATTAAGAAGAGGCAATATAACAAGGCGGGACTGCGGGAGGCAAATATGTAGCCAAAAAATTTTGAGCTCCAATATAATAATGGCGGGAGGCAAAATGTTTGGGAGAGAAATTTGGAGAAGCAAAACCTTTTGGGAACCTTCAACATTCCCACTCAAAAAATCCTCCCAGACCCAAACCTTTAACATTTGTAAATTATAATATGGATTAACAATTTTTTACAAATTAACATTACCTAGGGCTAGGGGTCAAATCAATTTGCTTGATGATTTTTTAAATATAAATTGTCATACTAATCATGATAATTAACCGTGATTAACAACTAGTCACCGGAAATGAAGAGTGAAAATAACTAAATTAATTCCCGTGATTAGAACTATGCAATCAAACACATTAATTTTTCCCGCGACTGTTAGTATACTTCTTAGTCCAGGAAACATTACCGTGAATAAGATACCGTGACCAAAAACCGAATTTCCTGTAGTGTATAGACTATTTAGAGTTTAGATTATATGTTATCGAGTAAAGTTACAATTGAACTCACAACAATTTTTCTATATTTTACATTTTAGTTTAATACAAAAATCATATAAACAATTAACTAGCTAAAACAACAATTTCTCTATACATTTATATGAACAATTTCACTTGTTTTTAAAAAATTAAAAAACTATTTTTAAACTTTTCTCTCCAAATTTTGGGTTCCACCAATACTACTGCCCAAAAATTTGATTCCCCCCACCCGCCGAGACCCGCCAATAATTCCCCCTATAATGTTTCCCCAAAAATTTTGTTTCCCTCCACCTTTGAATCTTTGACTTTGAGTAGTGATTCCTTTTTTTTTAACAAGTATTGTGCTAGCTTCATATAGTTACGATTTACGACTTACTAGTAATCACTAAAAAGTAACGCGATGTTCTGGTCCGTAAAAACCGCAACCCGAACCGTCCGACCCGTAAACCGATTGACCCGCGCCCGATTAACCCGTAAATTGATTGGCCCGCAGCCCGATTGACCCGTAACCCGATTGACCCGCAACCCGAGTAAACCACAACCCGATCAACCCGAACCCAATCAACTCACAACCTGATCGACCCGCAACCCGACCAACCCGCAAACCGAATGAACCCAGCCCGAACCCGCCTGAACCTGCCCGATTGACACCTCTAACCAAGGCTGGGCAGCTAAAAGACAAGTGGTGCAGTCTCGGTCGGAGATGGAGGTGGAGCAAGAAGCCGAAGCACAGAGGTAGGGCCACGACAAGACATCACCACGTCTGTCACCACGTCCGTCACAAAACTACTTGAAAATTTTTACATAATGATAACCCAATTTTTCTATATTTGCAAATATGTCCAAGTTTATGAGCTTTTTAATATGATTTGAGTAACTTGTGGCATGCTTTAGGAGTTTTCTAGTATGCTTTAAGAAACTTGTGAGTTGGTTTAGTAAATTTGCGGTTTTCTTTAAAGTTACCGATTTAACAAATTTTGTGGACGTTTTCTAGTTTGCTTTATAATTAAACTTTTTTATATACTTTATGCTATTTGTGGTGCGGTTTGTTTTGATAATGACGTGCCTCTCCTTTTATAAATCCGTGTGTGCTCTTTTTATAAATTCGGATTAATTTTGATCATGACCTTTAAAATAAATAAAGTTTATCAAAATAAATGCTGCTATTGGGTGTAACTAGTATTACGCTCTTCTAACTTGAAGTCTCTTGTGTAGTTATATTCGTCTTGCTTTTATAATATGTGTTCCCAGTTTCTGCCCATTCTTAATACAACTGTTTATTAACATAAAAGAAAAGGTGACGAGCTTCCAAATCCTGTTTATATATATTAAACAAGCGATTTATTGATTGATCAATTGTTTACTCCACATCAGAATCTCAGAACATATTTTTTTAATGAGGAGAATATGATTATAAGTATTATCATTACCCACATATTAGAGTGATTTTCCCACCATATTCTTGATCGTTGCAATATTCAACAAAACTTAGTGGCGTCATACTTGATCCAACAATCGCCGACTTCGAGCTGTCCTCCGAATGAACCTGCGCACACTTTGTCCATCAGCCGGGTCCGAGTCTTATGGAGACAGTCTTTACAGTCGCCGAGAGAAACCGAGCGGAAGCAATATGCCGATGCGGCGACGGTGAGATAGCCCTCTATGTATACCTTGCAGGAGGGCTCGTCCCCGGGCTGTGCTGTGTCAATCGCCTCTCCCAGTGAGATCAATGCTAGGCCTCTCATTTGGTCGCTGATTTCTTGCTTCAACCCGCAATCGCTATAGACCTTGGTTAAATTTGGACGGCTTTCCACGACGACGACGAAGTTTCCGTCGCTAAAGATGAACGCAGCCGCCAGAACAAGGACTGTAAATATTGGTGGTGTCATGATTATTATTATTTTGCTTAAAATGTTGGGGGATGGGAGGGGATTCAGTTCTTGAGTTGATGATGGTACTCGCTTATTTGATTCGAGTTATTTATGTGTTTATTTATATATACTCTCTTGAATCTGGATCACTACATAGTCACGTAGTTTATTGTTGATCACGTAATTAATTAACGAATGTTACAAGAATTCTTGAATTTGATGTTGTTCTGTAGGCGTACGGCTCATGCAGTATGTGATGCTTTTCTTCTGCCGTTTAAGTTTGTCTAAGGTTAGTTGTTTTGTTACGCAATGCAGTATCTGAATCGGCTTCTTTGTTTGATTTCTTAACTTAAAACTCTGATGATAACGTTTGGGGGCCTAAGAAAGAGTCATAACCAATGGTTATTGACCCGTCATAAATCGGGATCGTAGATCTAGGGGTTAAATGATCGTACAGCTGGGCTGCACGCGGAGCGAAGATGGGCATTTTTGTCCGATTTTTGAAATTTCCTTTCTTTCCTTTTTATTTTTATTTTTTTTAGCATTTATATGTTGTCTTTTAACGGAGGAAAGTGAAAAATAAACTTCTCTCTTCCTCTCTCTTTTCCTTCTCTCTTCCAAACTTTTTTTTCCATATCTAAATCTCATTTCTTCTCTTGTTCTTCATTTTTTTTCTCCAACAATCGACGAAGAAATTGCAGCCTCCCACCTCAAATCCGGTGACACTCCAAATCCATCTTCTCCCAAGCTGATCCTTCATTCTGTTTTTTCTTTTCTCGGCCTCAAAATCGATGACGCTCCATATTGTCAAAGAGGGGACAGATCTATGTGAGTCGAGTTTGCATCTTTTGTGTTTTACTATTTGTTTGTGAATTTCAATTCCGATCTTCCTCATATTTTTCCTTTCTTTTTGCATTTGGTGTTCTTGATTGTGGAGGAGTAAATGAGAGGATATAGAAAACGAGTTTTTTTTTCCTTCTCTTCCTTCTTATGTTTTCCCCTTCTTTGAGAATATATATTGATATTACCACACTATACCATATGGTAATGTGTGCTAACTAAATGTATTTTTACAGTCACGAGTTTTATCATGATTGTAGTGGATGGTAATCGACACCAATTCCGAGAAAGAAGAGTTAGAAGACAATGAAGGGAGAGAAGAAAGTCGTAATTGTATATATATATATTGAGATTACCACACTATACCATATGATAATGTGTGGCAACGAAATTTATTTTTATGAATATCATGTTTTTACTATGGTTGTAGAGGGTTGTAATTAGATTTATATGGTTTTACCTTCTCATACCATGTGGTATTATATGGTAATTATAATTAATTTTGTGGTCTTTCTATTTACCATGTTCTACTATGGTGGTATTGTATGCTAGTTAGATTTATAATTTTCTGTAGCGTGGTTTACCAAGTTATACCATGTGGTGGTAGTTTGATTTATAATTTTATTTTAGCATGTTATACCATATGGTATGGTATGATACTTAGATTTGTAAAATTTCTGTAGCATGTTTTACCACGTTATACCATGTGGTATTGTATGGTAGTTAGATTTGTAATTTTCTTCAACATATTTTACCACGTTTTACCATGTGGTATTGTATGGTAGTTAGATTTGTAATCTTCTTCAACATATTTTACCATGTTTTACCATGATAGTAGAAAGTTATAATCATATTTATACTTGTTACTTGTGTCTTTAGCACTGAATTATTTAAAGAAAAAATCATCATTCAATTTGAGTTGGAATTAGAATAGAGATTGCTAGGATGGTTAGATTCATTTTCGTTGTAGATGGGAGAGAGAAGAAATAGTGTATTTTTTTAAATAATAAAATAAAACAAAGAGTGAGAGAGAGGCGAACCAGTGGGGGAAGTGGGATCCACGTCTGGTCAAAAAGTCAGTGTCAGCGCGTCAGCGTCAACATTAAATCGGGGGTGCAATTTACCTTAGTGCCCCCTCCGTGTTTAATTTATATAAAAGAAAAAGGCTGACACATGGGGACATCTGATTAAGTTACTAACAGTTACTGATAGGAAGAATACTTACCTGATCTGGTCCTACGTTCAGGACTTGTTTCAAGGCATCATCACTTCGCCTTTTAAAATTGTGTTTTTGAACGAACATACACCAATCCTTTATGCTGAGGATTAGGATTGGGAAATGGTACCGTCGGCCGTCGATCATACCATAAAGTTAAGGGAAGAAAAGTCGTGTATAAGGTAATAAGTTAAAGGTGTGTTTTTATAATAAAATTTATTGGTTATTGGCAATGCAGTCAAAATCGCGCTTTAAAACTTAAAATCTTATGGTTTTACGCTTCTAAGTCACTAAAACGCTTTCGTTTCCATGTAAAATCGTAAGTGCATAAAATCGGACTAAATTGCATTTTAAAGCTTAAAAGCTTACGCTTTTACGCTTCTATTTCACCAAAACGCTTTACTCTTTTAGTTCACTAAATGGATATTCTTTTCATGAAATTAATCATAAAAAGTATATTCTAAAGGTAAACACCAACAATATGATAGATTTTATATTAAAAGATACATATTAGGTACTTGGATGCATTCTCAACTTCAGTAGAGTAATATAATTCACTAGCTAGGCCTTTCCCAAATTTATTAATAGAGACAGGAAGGTGACTTATTGTTAAGATCTTTGTTTATGAACTTATTGTTAAGATACTATGAGTTGCTCTACTTTAGACGTGAATTACAAGTATTTATTAACTTATCTAAATTTTGTGTACTCATATTTTAACTAGTATATATCGTACTCAACAGATTTTTAGTTATTTTCCAGTATACGTCAAAAACTTACGCTTTTACGTTTTGATTCTACGCTTTACGATTTTACCCATTTTCCGCTTTTAGGTAGAATCGCGCTTTTAACTGCATTGGTTACTGGCTTGACCTCATGACATCATGCTTGACCTCCATGGGATGGAGTCATTCTCGATCCCCTGGTGGTTGGGTCTTAACACTTAGCCAAAATTTGCCCCCACCATCCCTCTCGACCGCCGATCCCTCTCTTCCCTTCCTTCTGCCTTCTCTCCAGAAATCAACAATGGAAGAGGAAGAAGACCCAATTTTGGTCTCTCTCCTCTCGTCTCTCCTTTCTAATCCTCTCCCCCTCAACCGCCGTCGGCCACTCAAATCTGGCCAGGACCCTAATCGACCGTGAAAGCGGGTTGATCTAGGTAAATCTTTACATGCATGTTTGTTTCTCTTTCTATTTTTTTTTTAATTTTTGTTTCGGATTATACTAATTTTCTGTTTTTGGTATGTCTGGTTTCTGGATTTTGGATCGACGAGGGGGGAAGGAGAGGACTCGGCGTCGATGATTGCAGCAAGGGTAAGGGGTCGCCTCTAGGTTTGCATGCGGAGTTTTCTTTGGTTTTCTAGTTCAATGAGGGATTCTGATTTTTCCTGGGTTTCGATTTGGTTTTGTGCGAGGGGAGAAGGAATAGTGGGCGCTGCTGGCGCGAAGATAGCGAGTGAAGTGACAGCGAGACCCTGATTGCGACGGCCTTGCCGGCGGCGAAAGAAGGCTGACCACCGGACGAAGAGAAAAGAAAAAAAAATCGAACAGGGTAACTAGTTTCTCTTGACTCGGTTTTAACCTTGCCCCCTGTTTTATCGATTATGACAATTACCTAGATTGATGCAGGTTATGGGGAGGCCAGATCTAGGTAATATTCCTTAAACCCAATTAGCAAGGTCAAGGGAGAATCATAAAAAGAAAGATAATATTATAGATTTTGGTTTATTAGTAGATCTGAATTTATGGAAAAGTGATTTCAGTGGCTTAGACTGGTTAGTGTGCGGCTTTTGAATCTGGATTTGTTTGGAAAATATTTGATGTCAGATCTGTTGGGCTTGGGAAAAACTCAAAGCTTTAATTTTTGGTAAAAAGGGTTTTAAATTTGGTGGGATTTGGGTTAAAGCTAATCGAAACAATAAAAATAATGATTCGGTTATTGCCTAATCTAAGTAGTTATGAATGAAAAAAGATTTTTGTGCACTGAAGGCATTGATGTCTTATAAATCGCCACCACTGCCTGCGATTTTTATCTTACTATGGTTGATAGTTGATTTGTGAAGGTGAAGTTTATTATGCTAGAGAGATTTTGGTTGGATCTGAACCCATGCTAATTTATAAGGTTTCAAATGAAAAAGGTTTTTGGGTTTGGTTATAGTATGATGGGCATGGAATTTCTATGCATTTATGGATATATGACACAAATGGTAGTTCTAGAGGAAAAACGATTAATCACTGTGATAACCACCATAGGTAGAAAGATATTAAATAAACTTAAGCATAATCTGAATATGTAGTGTCTAATCAATACTAGTAGATGGAAGACAACAATAACAAGCTTTCATACATAAACCGCTTGAATGGAAATGAGCAAACATATCAGCTATTATGGCATATTTACACTAAAGATGTAATTGGAATGGAAGGAATCCAAGTACGAAGCAACATTTCATTATGTAAAGACTAGTAGTTGTGACGCTAACCTGGTGCAATTCTTGCTCGAGTATAGTCCACCTTGCTTCTGTAATCTCCACTTCTCTCAAAGAGTAAAGAAAAATGTGTGTATCAGTCTCTACTTCTCTAGAATTTTCCTTCTCCAAACCCCCCTCTAAAATATGAGCTGAAGAGCTCTTCTTATAGCAAACAAAATTGCCCAGTTGCCTCTCTTTCATTGGCTGTTTGGAAGGCCCATTCTGGAGCTTCCATGTATTAGGTCGGTTCTGACATGTCAGGCCGAGTGTGGGCTGGGCCAAGTTTGGATAATGTTGGGCCGACTTGGGCCTGAGTTATGGGTCGATCTGGACTTCACCTGGGCCGGGTTTGAATTTGGGTCTGGCTCTGGGCTCGAGTTGTGCATCAGATTTGGAATTGGACTTTTACCCTTGGGCCTGAACTGGGTTCAAGATTTCAATTTGGGCTAAAACTAATATGTTCTCCTCTTTTTTATTTTTGCAGGTACACAATTTGTTTGAGCTTAAAGTAGGAGGACAATGACTTCAATTTGTTGAGCCTAATCTGTTTGTAATTAGTTTATTGTAATTAGTTTTAATTCTTATTATGGTGTCATTACTACGATGTACAATATATCAAATCTGATAATGAATTTATTTTATTTTCAATTCACATTTTGCACAATAAATCTACCACTCCCAGATCCAAAGCGTACAACAAACTTTGCACCATAATAATTTCTTTCGTCCAATTGAGAATTTATATTTAAAATTTACCACTGCCAATCTTAACTTAAACCGATCATATCTTAACTAATTATGCCTTAGAATCGACTAGGAGCAAATTTGATAACGGTTGGTTCATATTGACTTGCAACTGCTAGTCTCAACCAAACTATCTTCAACTTCCTTTTTAAATATAATCGTAGTATGGCGGTATCATAATTATTTTCAATAAAACAATTATCCTGGACAAAATGTGGTGTCTACAATTTGGTTATTACGATGAGCTATTTTTCTGCCACCAATAAGAATTTCCCTCAAAAGATGTCATTTTATTATTTTCCAATGTATCGCTTTAAGAACTTAATCAATTCACATTAATCTTACCCGGTGCATAGCGCGGCCTTGCGGTACTAGTATGTAATGGGGTGTATAACTTATTGTTGTATAGTTTTTTTTGGGAAACACGTGATAAAAATAGTGAATTTTAGTAGGAAAGAGACATGAATGATGTAACGAATCAAAAACCAGCCTTATGAACCAAAATCAAGTACCTGTTACCTTGTGAAACAATATTGTTTCTGGTATTATGATGAGGTGGAGTAAGTTTTATAGAAACCGAATTCCAGAAATTCGAATAAAAAATCGTTTATTCCGCCAGTTTTCGAGAAATGAGCATCTCACAATCGTTGCTAGCTTTTACTCGGCCCGTTGGCCGATTAATTTGCTTTATAAAACTTTCATCTGGTCATCATTGTGCTTTCTGGTTTTTTGCCAAACCATGATAAAATCTAAAGAAATCAAGAATGAACAACACGATTTGGGATAGGAACCACCGTTCCTGTATCCCTAGAAAATGGTGGTAAACACGGACTCACCTGCCAAACTGGTTTGGATTGAGATTTCTATCGAGTATTAGAGAACCATGTGATTATAAGTTAGACTTGATCAAAAAGGGACAAAACTTGAAATTCAGCCTGTTTGACCGACTCATGCCAAACTCTAATTATTCTTTACTTTACAACTTTCTATTTGAAAATAAAAAATAATGAAATAAAATAGATGACTACAATTCGCCATTTTCACATCACTGATTCAGGAATAAAACTATAGAATTTCGAAAGGAAACTGAAAATGTTGGGGTCGTTTTAATGTTAAAAATAACCAAATTGATCTTTATGTTTAGTTTTTTACTAACAAATACCAAACGATTCTCTATAATATACACTATAACTTAATCATTATGATATCAAATAATTACATAATATATATTTGAAATTATAAAAATTGGACAAATTGGATTGGTCGAGGTTGAACCAATAAATAACTTTAAAATACATTATATTTTAGCCACTAAGATAGAAAATAATAGCATAATATATATTATGCTAGAGAAAATAGCTTGTTTTACAATGGCAAACCCATGATGTTTATTTGTTTCACTTGATGGGCAATTCTAGTGTAGGTCAGGCCCATTCAACTATTTTATTTTATGATTAGCGGTTAGCCCATTAGAATCCATGCATTAGTGTATTGTTCATTTTTTTCTTTTTAGCAATAAAAAGGAGTATTGTTTTTGCCTTCTCATATATATTTTACCACCACAGAGAAATAAAAGGACTTAAAGAAAAAAATTGACACTCCTGGACCCGTTTAAATCTGCGTGTGTACGGTAAGTTGGCCCGTTCCACAGAGGTAAAAGAAAAATATTGACACTCCTTATTCTACCATTTCTACAAACGCTCCTGGAGCAGAGGATTTGAAATGGGGGAGGATTTTTTCTCTCTGCGATTATATATTTTTAATTTAAAAAGATACAACAAATGTACTTATTGTGATTGATTATGATCTTTGCTTTTCTTTAAAGTGGTCATGGTTCGAATCCTAGTAAGTGTCTTTTTAATGAATAAAAGAAAGTAATTGTGAAGACCAAAAACACTTATTAATGAATAAAAGAAAGTAATTGTGAAGATCAAAATGTCTTTCCTACGTTCACTCTAGATGCAGAAAATTTGAATTGAGGCTTCAAGTTTTCTCATTTGGCTTTTATGTATTGTGTAGATTTGCGGTTGCATGCATCTGTATATGGGTTTGGATTCTCTGTTTCTTGATTTGGGAGTACTTAAATGTGGAGTTGGATTGTTGGGGTTCTTCTTCGCCCCTGTTGTTGCTGGAGTTGAATTTGGAGTTCCTTGACCTTTGCCACTGTTCGAGGAGAAGAATAAGATGGAGAAGGAAGAGATTTTGATTCATGTCTCTGCTGCTCCTTCCCCTATTTGTTGCATACTTTAGCTGTGGATTTTTTTTAATCAAATTTTGTGCTAGTTTTATATTTTTTTGGGTTGGTGTTGGTTTGGTGCTGAGTTGTAGCTCAATTGTTTTGATTGTTTTGGGCTTTGCTTGGTTTGTTCAATCCTCCTCCATTAATATATGGTAGAGTTTTGTGTACTTTTCCCTATTTCAAATTTCCTGCAATGAGAGTGAAAGTAGGAAGGTCATTTTTGTCTTTACACATTTATTATTTATTTCATATAAAAATAGCAATATCAAGATTTGAACTTGGGTCTCTTCAAACAAAGATAACAATTACAACCAGTTACACTAAACAAATTTATTGCATCCTTTTTGATACAAAACATAGACAAAGTTAATCTCTGAAAATCAGAGGACTTTTTCATCATAATTAGCAAGCTCACTAAGTCTACCGTATGTATTTTTATCGAGCTTGATACTTCTATTGTTATAGTAGAGTTTCACGTAATTTTCTCAATTTTAAATTCCCGCTCTATCCTTAATTTTTTCTAAAGGTAAATGGGTAATTGGCTAACATGGAAGAAACTAATTATGTAACTACGTGTTGTATCCTTGCATTTTTCAATTTAAATTTAAATTTTGTGATTTTTTATCTTTGTTCTTTTCTCTTTCTAACTTCCTCCGAAATTTCATCCTTCGTGCAATATTTTGCGCCTTTCACTTCCCAGTATAAGACTGTCATTGAAAATCAATCTTCAGGTATCTCTTGGCACTACGGTTTTATTGTTGGGGATTTTAAGCTGGGCGAGTAGAAGATTTCAACTCCGATATCAATCCTTGGTGAATAGAATGGAGTTCATCAATAACTGGAGTTGTAGAAGGAGGATTAGAAATTGAATTTTTGGTAGAATATATGCCTCTTGAGATAGAAATTTGGTTGTACAACGGAGAGTGGTGGCTATTGGATCTTTAGGTTTATGGTTTTTACAATTGTCACAACCTATTTCTATCTTAAAACGAGGAATCATTGATTGATTGTTTGAAATAGGTCGCTTTTTTATTCAACCTACTGGAACTAATAGATAATGAGTGTCTAATTTTGCGCCTTATTACTTTGATCGAGTCTATTCGTATATTGGAGATAACCCTGATTTTTTCTTTTGCTCTCAAGTTGTGATGGTCTCCTCTTAGCTGAGTTTTTAGTATATAGATGACTTGAATCAACAACTCTCCATTTCTTTTTGATTTGTGACATATTGTTTCTAAAAGAGAGCATTGAACCCTTTATATAGGATTGTGAGGTTTAAGATTTAGTTTCAAACTATCTATGAGTCATGTGAGAATTTCAGTGAGCTTTTATACTCTATATTTCTTGACTGTAAAATAAAACTAACCAATAGCATTTTAACAGGGACTTAATTAGCATTATGAAATGGGGTCAATGATACATTTTTCTATTTTATATTCTTAAATGATTATGATATTTCTCCGAATGTTCGACCTATATATTATTTCTTTATGTATCATCTCGATTGAATGATTATCAATAAGATTAAACGGGTTAATAGACTTAAAAGTAACAAAAAATACAAATAATCAAATATGAGCATTCCGGCCAAAGAGCCGAGTTATAAGCTAGTGGTAAATAGAATATGAACAAGAACGACAGATGGAGGTTCCAAAAGTGAGGGTTTATTTGTCATTTTGCCTTTTTATTATAGAATAACCAAGGTTGTCAGCCCGCGGATCGATCCAGGTTGGTCCAGACTCTGCATTAAAAATGGGCTATATCAACCCAATTCAATAACACCCTGGAACAGGTAAAACCCGCTGGAACCCGGTCAAATCCGGTGAAACTTGGGCGGTTAGCCCGTCCGATCGGGTCACCGGGCTAAAGTTGCTGCTAGCCGTTTCAACCTATGCGGCGTCATTTGCTGGGGAGGAAGCGAGAAGCAAAGCACGAAAGAAGAAACCCTTATCGGATACTTCCTCCTTCCATTCTCGCGGTCTCCAACTCTCGTCCCGCTGTCTCCACCTCCCGCATCCGCGCCATGGTAAAGGAAACCGGATCGTACCGGCCGGTTGAACCGGTAAAACCGGAAACCGGCGCCTGGCCGATACGGTAGCTGGTTTGTAGTGAAAGAGTCGTTCCGGCCGGTTTTTCCGGTAAAATCGGTTCAATTTAAAAAACCGGGCGGTTTTGGTCTAACCTGAGGTAAGCTGATGGGAAGGAGTAAAAATCTCACGCATCCTTTCTTGAAACTCATTTGAGAATTGAGATACCAAAGACGCACCTCGCCATTCACCAATCTCTCTCTCGCTCCATCAATTCTTCGAGCTCCCTCTCTCTCTCTCTCTCTCTCTCTCTCTCTCTCTGGCTTTAGCGAATCATCTCCGACCTCTATCTTGCTCCGACGGAATCCATCGGCGAATCTCCGACCTCCCTCCCTGGCTGCGGGAAAACCAGCAGGCGATTCTCCGACCTCTCTCCCACTCCAGCGGAATCAGTAGGCTGTTCTCCGATTTTATGATAAGGTTATCCCTCTCTTCGGAATGAAGAAGTAATTGTGCTTTGGTGTTTTTTTTTTTAGTTCGCTCTCCCAAGTACTAGTGAAATTGAGCTCGCTCTCCTACTACTTAAGGTTTCTTGTGTGGTTTTTTGTGCTTTGGATTTCTATCGCTTGCAATTACGTTTGTGTATGGTAGATCAATTGATGGTCCTGGTGCTTTGTGTTTGCATGGTGTGATTGTGAAGTTGTGTTTCAATTGATTGGATGTTTCAATTTAGCAAGTTGATCGGTTGTGGTTGTATGTACTGACTATGCTGGTTTTGGCAACTTGCTGAATGCAATCCTAGATCCAATCTTGATATTCCTTTGCAATTTTGGCATAGGGGGGCTACAGTTGCTACTGTGATAACTGGTAGCCCATAAATAACAGTTTTGTGCAGCTATTAGTCCAATCTTTATATTCCTTTGCAATCTATTCTGATTGTGTTTCTGGTTCTCTGCAGACTCAGATAAACAACAGTTCACCGTGAAGCATGTGCAGCTATGGAAGGTAGCATATCATATCACATCACCTAAATGGACTCACAACTACTATCTTGCGGCCATCTCTGTCCATTATGCCAAGTAATTCAGCTTACCTCTTTGTTGTTATTTTCGCTACTACATGGATGAACAACTTGCTGTAATTCTCTATTGCTACCTCCTCGTTACTTCTTTTTAAGAGGGTTCTTTGCTAAATTTTTGTGTAGGCACAAAATATGAAATACTGTAAGCTAACTCCATCTCCTGAAATAGTGTTTAGCCAATAACAGAGAAAGGAATTCACAACAGCAGGTAAGCATTTTGTTTAATGGTTTCATCTTTGGGTTTTCTTTTTCATTTCTCCCTCTCTGCTTTGCCCACCCTTCCGCTCTCTAGAAGGCCAGCTTCAACTGGTGAAGTGCATTACATCAGATGCACAGCTAAAAGGAAGTCTAGCCTTTGTCTCACTGGTTTTATTTGATCATAGTGAAGTTTGATCACAAGCAAATTAGTAGTCGAACTTGTAGATTTTGAAGAAACCAGTCACTGAAATAGATGTGTGAAATAACGATTATAAGTTTTTTTGTTTCAATGTTCTTTTTTTGTTTCAAATTAGTCACTAAAGTAGATGGTTTAAGAATGTTGTTTGGTTGTTTTGTACTCAATTGTAAACATGCATTTGAACGATTATGAAGTTAATTCAGTAATGTTACAGTTTGTTGAATTTTATATTAAATATGCTTATTTAGTTTATTCAGGTTTGTTATCCGGTATATTCCGGTATTATTCCGAAACGGTATCCCAAATCTGCCGGTACGGTTTTTTAACAAAAAAATATTATTTAATTACAAAAACGGTATATTGTCGGTACACAACGATTGAACCACGATAGTACCAAAAAATATCCTACCATTGGCAGAGCCGGTATGACTTCCGGTACGGTTTCCTTTACCATGATCTGCGCCGCTCTCCCTTCATCGGCAGCGTGCTCGTTCTCCCGTTCCGTTGTCTCCACTTCTCGCAGCTGCGCTCGTTCTCCCTTCCCATGCCGCCGGCTCTAGGTCGCCGACTTCGGTCCCTCTTTGCATCTAGTCATCCTCCACCTTCCAGCTCCCGCCCCACTCTGTCTCCAGCTTCGCATTCTCCGGCGAGCTTATAGATTGCTACATCTCCGGAAAGGTAATATCCGAATAGTCAAAAGTCACCGGGGTTTCCCAGTTACTCGATAATCCCTACTTTGTTTAAATTTAGATAGATTAGGATAATTGGATACTTTGAACCAGCTGTGTTCTAGGCTCAATTTAGATAGATTTGGTTTTTTATATATTGTCACCAAGACTAGGTGAAAATGGTTTTGTTTTATGTTTTGTTGAGCTCCAAAGTAATGTATACTGTTGTTACTTGTTAGTAATCATTTGTAATTTTGGATTGTTTATGCGTTGGAGTAGAAATATTGTTGCATTTTTTCTATATTAGATTTAGGATAAATACACTAGAATTACTTTTTTCATATTTCTGGGCTAAACTGGGCTAAACCGGACTTAAAAACAGGTGACACATTAACTCACTAGCTCGTCCGGGTCCGATCGACCCACGGATTGACAACTTTGAGAATAACTCGTACCAAATACTTCACCAACCAAACATGATATTTAAAATCAAATATCACATCAATACCACACAAATACTACAGTCCTAAAAAGTCAGTTTATTAAACAACAAAAAGCAAAACCATACAAATAGAACAGAGGCAAATAGGTGGAGACAAAGAGCCCGACGCCAACCTGCCTGCTAAAAGTGAGTTATTTCACTTTAGAAATACCGCATCAACAAAAAAACCCATCCAAACCGCCATAACAAAACCGCCATCAACACTCCTTAGGCCGGAAAGAATTCTAAAGTCCTACGACACATTTCTCTTTTTGATTCTTTTTGGTTAGTCTAGTGTTGTCTTGTTTAGCTATGTTTGTAAGTAACACAGTACATCAAGCGGCTCTTTGTTCAATTTCTAACTCTCTAAAACTCTTATACACATACCAGCTTTTATACCACCCTTTCGCAATCATTTTTGGTTTGGTTTGAAGGTTTTCGGGTTGCAAAAACTACCTTTTCTTGTTGTGACATTTCCCTTTTTGATTCTTTTTGGCCAGTCAGTGTTGGCTAGGGTTGTGTAGTTTTTTAAGTAACACAGTACATGCAGCGGCTCTTGGTTTCATATAAATATATACACCAGCTCAACTCCAAAAAAAAAAAAAAAAAAAAAAAAAAAAAGCAAGAGACATACAAAATGGCCGTGTTATCAGTGTTATTCTTCCTCACAATTCTGATCACTAGGGTTTCCTCCGCCGCTGAAAATGATCAATTACCAGGTGTGTGCCCTTCTCCCTGCGCTTACTTCTGCGGCCCGGGGGCTGACCTCGACAACAAGCGCATGCAGGACGGCATATTGGAGCTGGCTACGCAGCAACTAGGGTGTAGAACTACCATTTCTTCAAACAAGATACCCATCTACATGTATTCCTACTGTCGAAATGGCGACTTGAAGACTGAGGAATGCAGATCCTGTTTGGGACAAGCGGCTAAGGTTATCGTAGACTACTGCAAGGACAAGCCTGGAGGTCAGTACACGATGTTGGGGGGAAATTGTTGTGTTAGGTACGAGTTCTACGATTTCTGCATGTGATGATCTTCACAAATTGATGAGATTAGTCACGATGATTATGCAGTACTGATGTTTCGAGCAGTAATTCAGTACTCGTGATGATAATTAACTCATCCATATAAGTTTTTAAGGTTTATGATGTATTTTCTGATTATTAACTGTTGCTTAATGAAGGGCTTTACCTAAGATACTTTGCTGATTAACGAGTTTTCCTTCGTAATAGACCAATTCAAGTCACATCAAGTCATCGCGGCTGATAGTCCGATTCAAGTCATATCAGCAGTTTTTATTCTCATTGACGAACTAGAAGTGGTGTAGCCTGAATTTCATAAAAAGTAGGTCCTAATAAAAAAAACCTAAGGTAAATTTTTTTGACATTTTATAGTGTTTCACGGTGTGTTTTTATATTCCGAAAAACTTGAACGACGCATTTATATGATATTATATTAGGACTCATAATTAGCTCAGTTCCCTTATGACCAGAACCATTTATTATGCTCTAGACTAACCGTTAAGTATTTTGTGGTTAACCGGATAACAGTTAAGTGATTGGCTAAGATTATATACTAAAGTAATTGGTTGATAACCTAACCAGCTGAAGACCACCTCATTTTTGTAGCTTTTTTCCTACTTACGTATTTTTTCGTTTTTTAAGTTGTTATCGTTGAATAAAAATTTATTCAACATAGATATCAACCCATAATCAACATAATCTAACAAAAGTACATAATAACAACATTATGCAGTCAAATTTGATTCAAGAAGCAAAAAAAGAAAAAGAGACCTAACAACAATTAGTGAACTCATACCGAATTACATTGAAGGTTAAATGTTACTGATTGAAGTTGAGCTACTGTGCTAAAGTCTAACTATCTATACTGTGGTACTTTTAAAAGCTCTTTCTTGAAATTGTTCTCATTTGAACATAAGTTCATATTACAACTTGGATAGCAAGGGATCTTGTAAACCGTAAAGCTTCTCATTATTTTTGGCATATGCTTGTGGCTCATCAAAATCTATCATATTCCACCGTAACTATGAGAATTTTGTAATCTGTTAGTCGGTTAACTGTTTAACCATCGGTGGGTGGTGCCTGATAAAATTATGTGGCATTTTACGGCTGACGGGGTTTTCTCGGTAAAGTCGGCTTATCATTTGGCTGTAGATTTCGTAATCAGCTATTCCGCTTTCGCGGTGGGAGGTGCCTGATAAAATTATCTGGCATTTTACGGCTAACGGGGTTTTCTCGGTAAAGTCGGCTTATCATTTGGCTATAGATTTGGACAGGAGGAGGGGTGGGTGGCGATCTTCGGTTAGCTAGATGGATAAACCAAGTTGGATAAGAGTGTGGGAGGCAAAGATACCTCCAAAGTTGAAGGTTTTTGTATGGCAAATCCATAATCGGGCTCTGCCAACTATGGAGGCGCTGATTGAGAAGAAGGTTCAGGTACTTCCCCGGTGTCCAGTTTGTTGGGATAGCCCGCAGACTATGGAACATATGTTCCTGTACTGTCCGGTTGCGCGGGCTCTCTGGGACTACTCAGGGCTGGAATACCTAGGGGAGGGTTTGTCTGGGCACACTTTTCCTTTGTTTCTCAAGCGTTTGTTGGTTCCGATTTCTCAACCGTCCGTGGTAATGACTGTTGTTGCCGTCCTTTGGAGGATCTGGCGGTCTCGAAATTGGGTTGTTTTTTAGGGCAAACAATTCGGGATTCCGGCACTCATGCGGCAGGTTCACCAACAGTATGAGGAATGAGTGTCTCTACCAGTGGATCGGGTTCCGAGGATGACTGTCCCAATGATGCAACCAACAACGCAATCGGGTGCTTCCCAGTTGGTTTGCATGTGGGACGGGGCTACGAAGGGAGGGTCGCATTCGGCAGGTGGGATGGTTCTCCTTGACCCAGAGCGGACGCTCCTTCTGGCTAGAGGGGTTCAGTTTCCTTAAGTGGATGACTCGATGATGGTGGAATTGCTTGTGCTTAGAGAAGCTATTGTTTGGTGTATGGAGAAAGGATTGGCGGAGGTCCGGTTTGAAGGCGATGCAAAGGTCATTATTGACAAAATTAATCAAGCCAACATGAGAGATAGCCGGTTGGGTGCTGTTTTAGAAGAGATTGGTCATTATTTTTGTACCCAGTCCGGTTTATTGTGCGTTTTGTAGGTCGAGAAAACAATAGAGCAGCTCATTTGGTAGCTAGGAAAGCCCTTTCTTTGTATCCGACTATGAGTCGCTTCTTTGATTTCCAGTCCTGGCTGGTTTCCAGGGTGTAATTGTCTATGTTTGATCAATATAAGATATCTTTTGGCAAAAAAAAAAACTGTTTAACCATCGGTTATTAACGGTTTAACTGTCGATTAGTAATTAGTTAAATTTTACTACTGGGAACCGACTGTTTACCATTCATCAATTATCGGTGTAACCATCAACCATCGATTCTAGTTCGATTATTAGTAACATAATTAACATGATAACAAATTACCAGCCCTATTAATTATATCCTATCAAATATTCATTTATAGTTTTATTAGTTCATCAAATTGAAGAGTGCTTGTACGTAGCTCATTACACATGTCCTTTTAAAACATGTGGAAAGTTCAATTCTGTCTGCCACCTCTCAGCCATTCGGTTAGCTTCGTTGGTCTATCATATGAAATCACGTGATAAGATTTCATACATGTATCTACTCTATCTATAATACGCTCAAGCCTAAAACTGAACCCCCATTTTGAATTTGCTGCCTCCGAAGCATTTCTCGGAGGGGTATTTTCGGCCTCGGGAAAATTACATCGCAACGGGCCTGCTGATTTTTTTGTTTTGTCAGTCTGAGTAGGAGATAGCTGATGTCGAACTGGTGATAACGACGGCGACGACGAGGTAAGGAAGATGAAAATCAACGGTTGCGGGGGAGGACGGAGGAGCAAGGAAACAAATCCGGCTGGCGACCGACGGTGCAGTGTGGCAAACTGATTCTAGGAACAGGGCTTCCGACCTTCGAGTATCCCGGCTATCAGGCGATGAAAGGGAAAGAACTAGGTTTCTGAGTTGCGGCCGCCGGAGGTGAGGATTCCGATCTCAGTTCGTCGATGAGCGGATTCACAGTCGCCTATTGGGGCATTCTCTAATCTCTACTCAGATTCTCCAGTTCCCTTTCTAGATTGCTTCCCGCTTGATGGATATTGCCGAGACAATATTTTCAGAGACTGCGTGAACGGCAACCGAGCATTAGCAAACGGGAAACCAGCCACAGGGCCACAAGCTCGATTCCAACACCGTCTTCCAATCGGGACCTTCAGATTTGGTGCTCTGGACTGCATGTTGTCCACTCACTTCCGATCGATTTTGTCTAACTTTTTTTGGGTAGAATCTGACCTTTCTTTTGCAGGGTTTCCTTCTTCTTGCTTATTTCTCTTTTGGTTAATTTTTCTTGGTGAGTCTTGCTTATCCTAGGTGTCTGGTGTGGAATCGTATCTCCTTAAGAAATCGTCAAGTAGAGTTACTAACAAAGTATCCATAAACCTTTCCTTTAATTTTGTCTATTCGTTGGTGATAAATCGTGAAGTGAGATTGTTGTATCGCCTACTGCATTGTTTAATTGCTGGCTGCTTGGTAGGGTTCCAGGGGATTTGTTGCGTAATCAACAATGACTTTTTCCTTCAGGTTGATGATTCTATCTCTAGCCTGTAGTTCTGTAATTGAAATCCGTCGACTGATATACTCCTTAATTTTGGTTCCTCTCCTCTTTGCTAGCTAGCTGACTTGAGTGTCTCTATGGCTTATGAAAGTGGAACTGATTTTGTGGGGTTTCTTTTTTGTGCAGGAAGAAGAGACCAAATCAAGTAAAAAGTTGATTAATATAGCCGTCTCTGGTGCAGTTGGGATAATATCCAATCATCTTCTCTTTAAACTAAGTAGTAATCGCCTTCACGTGTTCACGAACTGCTTATAGCTTTTTTAGTCCCTGTTAATGTGTCTCCCAAAATGATGTTGCAATTAAGCCTGGTAAGACTTGCACCTTAATGGTTTCAATATGATTGCCAAGCCTGAGATTCTGCAGCAAAACTAAATTTGTCTACTGTAAGATCCGTGTGTTGTGTTGCAAAGTCGACTTCAGTTAGAAAAGCTTAACCATTTGAGACCTTCACTCTAACCCTCAGTTTCATTGCTTTCTAATATTGGATCTCAGAGTTTTGTAATCTGGTTTGGTTATCTCAGAGGTAAGCTTCCATCATTGTACATTGGTGTCGTTCCATGTTTAAGCTACCTGTTCTGCTTAATACTTTGCTCAGCCCTAATGCTAATAAGGGTGATGAAATAATTTCATAATGTTCTGGCATTTGAGCATCAGTGCTCTTAAATCATTTGTGATTTGCCATATGTAGTTCAGAATGTAACAAATCATTTGTCAATACCTTTTGCTTTTGGAATCCCTAATTGTAAGTTGTTTATTCAATCCTTATTTTACTGGTTATGCTTTCAGTAGGACTAAAAGACAATTAAGGAATTCAACAATAACAATTATAGTTAACTTTTTCATGCCATAATTATGAGAACACTGATATTGTGTGCAAAGAACAAGACGTATTAGGTGTTGTGTACCTTAGTTGTTAGGACAATTAGCAGTACATTCTGCGAACTTACAAAAGCACACGTTCTCTACTCATAGTTCAGTAGTGTTATCTTTGTTTCTCATTCCAATGTATTAGGTGTGTTCAGTGAATGCAACAGAGTGTATTAGAAATTAGGTGACCTGTTCATATTGTAATTTTAAGAAGTGAACTATTCCCTTAATTGTAGATTTGAATATTTCTTTCTGCGTATCACAGACGGTGATCCTTAGCCAGCACAGTAATTTTATTGTGGGATCTGGAATTGATAACACTTTATTAGCTCGATATTCCTGAATGAATATAAGATTAATTACTCTATTTTATCCATTTATTATTAGGTTCCCCGTTGTCATGACTATGAGGAATGCCTTGGATGCAATTGAATTGGTTTTGCTCGACTATGCGGCTTCTAAATTTTTTAATATTGCTGCTGAAGAGTTGTTGGCTAGGATTGATTGTGGTGATACTAACAAACCCCCTCCTCATCTTTTGGAGGTCGTAGGCTAAGGATTGAAAGTTCATGTGAAGCTAACTTACTATGACTACTCCCACCCGTCAAGTAAACTTAGTGTGCTG